CCCCTGTCGCGACACATCCCATGGCGCCCCGCGCCGCCCTGCCCCCCTCTGTCCCTACCTGCTTCAGCCAAAGCGGCCCCGGCCGGGCTGGGGAGGGGGCTGTGGTGGGGGGCAACCCCCCCCAATTAAAGGCTGTTTGTTCCAGCTGTGGGGTCCTGCTGCTCTTTCGGCTCTCCCTGACACCCCCAGAACCCCTGGTGACCCCAAATTCCCTAAAGACTGCCCCCTGGAAACCTCCCTCCGCCCCACCCCCAGAGCTCCCCAGTTTCTCTGAGGATCCACCCCAAGTCCCCCCCACAACTGGGGCCTTTCGGCCTGGGGTCCTCAAATCCTCCAGTAACCCCCAAATCCCTCCCAAAGACCCTCAAACCCCACATCCCTGGAAGTTTCTCCGGCCCCCAGGGGAAGAGAAGGAGGAGGAGGAGGGTTGATGGTGCACATCCGTTTTTAACCACAAATAAATGCACATCACCATATTCAACCCAAAATGTGTATGCAGAGCACCGTATCAAACCAGAAATACACATGCACCACCACAGAGGAATTTTGGTTTTTCTTTGGTTAGAAGCAGGGATTTTAAATAAATAATATAAAAATGGAAATAAAGAAATCTATAATAAAGATAAAACTATAGGGAGATACTTATATATAGGCATTAATAAGAAATAGATACAAGTAATATAAATCTGTCTAGGGAATGAGCAATGCGTTTCTTCTGCCCCTGCCCTCGGTCTCGGGGTGACAGCAGCACAAGCTGTGAGCTGTCGGGATGATGAGGGCTCAGAGCAGCCCCAGGTGTGAGCAGTGAGGATGATGAGGGCTCAGAGCAGCCCCAGGTGTGAGCAATGAGAATGATGAGTGCTACAGACCACAGGGGCCTCTTGGCTGCAGAGCTGGGTGATGGGAGACAACAAGGCAATGCCCAGGATGCAGCTGTTCAAGCCAGCCTTGCCTCACAGAGCATTTCTTTCTCACCTGTCCATGGTTCTCTCTGTGTGTCTGTGCTCCTTTTTAAACTGCAGGGCTGGGAGGCCTGGCCATTCCACCGGGAGTGCTCACCCTGGGAGCACCAGTCTCTACCTTGGGATTAAGCAAGCTGCCACCAGAATAAAAACAGGGTGGAGCTGCTCCCACTCCAAGGCAAGAGCCTGCAAGGCCCATCCTTTGGGGACCCGTCTTTTGTGTGAAGGCACATTGTCTAGCAGAAGAAGAGGTTGGTACCTGGTGGAGCAGGGCCAAGATTCCATTTTCCCCAGGCAGCTCCCTCCTCTGCCTGCTGTAGCGCTGGCCAGGGCTGGGAGAGGAGGGGAATGTGTTCAGCACTGCTGCTGGAACGGAGTGGCCCTCTCAGGAGGATCCTGGTTGCTTCAGGGCCTTGCTTTTCCAGTGGTTTGTGTCCACAAAGGAAAGGCATGCAGAAGGCAGCACCATCACCCCAGCCCTGCAGTCAGGAGTCCATCAGCTTTCCCCACAGTGAACGTGGTTAAGGTCTCCTTAACCAAAGGAAAACTCAGCGCCACTACAGATGTACAGAACAGCAATTTATCCACTGGGGCCCTCCGACACACTTTGCCCATTATGTGTCCAGAAGACTCTAAGTACTGACTTTACACGTCCACAAGCGTGGCCAAAGCCACACATACAGAGCAACACCAAGTTCTCACGGTGTACCAAGAGAAACAAAGATTTAATAACAGTATTTCTTAGACAACTGTTTGGGATGAAGTCAAATGTAAAGAAAAATGGAAATGTAAAAAATGATGGACGTTAGTGCACACGGATACAGAGTTTCTGCTTTTGAGCACCGCAGATGCCTGGGGAGGGAGTGAGCGGGGCGCTGTCTGTAAATAGCAGGGCGGGGTGAAAGAGAGTTAAGTGTGTAAAGTGACACGGCTGGGCTTGAGCGGGGACACGGCCTTAAGGAAATAATTCCTTTTTTTGTCACTGCTGCACTGAATTTCATAGGCATGTGACTAGATGCCTAATATATTTAAAGCAGGTTTTATTCTTACAGGTGTTTTGCACACT